TCTCATCATATTTTACCTTGTCTTCTCAAGCCACCCTTTGAAATCTTCTGTTCAGCTTTTACTTTGTCATTTCTTCTATTCATTTGGTTGTTGTTGTTGTTATGTGCTGTTGAGTCGGCCCCGACTCATAGCGACCCCTCTTTGGGTTTTTGAGGCAGTATCACTACAGAAGTAGATTGCCCCATCTTCCTTCCGAGGAGTGGCTGGTGGGTTTGAACCGCCAGCCTTCTGGTTAGCAGTCAAGTGCCTTAGTCAAGAGCGAGTTTCAGAGTCTCTTCTCACATCCATGTTGGTCTAGGCCAGAACAGAGATCATTCTCTAAACGTTGCTGTTGTCGGTAGGTGCTGTCCAGTCAGTTCCCATTCAGAGACCCTATGCACAACAGAATGAAACAGTGCCCAGTCCCGCGTTGTCCTCACAATCATGACTATCACTGCAGTCACTGTGTCAGTGCACCTCGTTGAGGGTCTTCCTCTTTTTCGCTGACCCTCTGCATTACCAAGCATGATGTCCTTCTCTAGGGACTGGTCCCTCCTAAAAACATGTCCCAAGTACGTGAGGCAAAGTCTCATCATCCTTGCTTCTAAGGCGCTTTCTGGCTGCACTTCTTCTGAGACAGATTCTTCTGCATCTTCTGGCTGTCCATGGTGTATTCATTATTCTCCTCCAACACCACAATTCACTCTTCTTCAGTCTTCCTTATTTGTTGTCCAGCTTTTGCATGCATATGAGGCTATTTGTTGAGGATCAGTTTTATTTTTAATTTGTGTAATATCAGTGCTTTTACCAAAAAAATCAAAACACAATAAAATATTGTGATGAGGTCAAATTGCTATTAAAATCTTTAATTGTTGACCTTCATTTTCTGTATTTTCCTTGTTGGGAACCAGTGACAAGTGTTATAAAACCCTGAACAGTATCGTGTGAGTGGTTTAAGAAGGTTTGTTTGCTTGATTTTTGTTTTTGTATGTGTTGTTTGATTTTGTTTTTGCTAGTTCTTAGAGGAAGAATTGAAAGTTTAAATCAGTTCATATGAATTATAATCTGTTATTCATAAATATATTACCTGTATGAGAAAGATACATGGTTCTCACCCAGTTGTGTGAGTTCAGACCGCCCCACAGTGCCCAAGGAAAGCCTGGGTGAGAGGACCCTGCTGACACCCTGAATTTCAACTTCTAACCTCCAGAAGTGTGAGAAAATAAATAAATTTCCATTGATTAAAGCCATCCATTTTATGATACTTCGTTAGGCAGCCCTAGCAAACTAAGACCCGTCCTTCAAGACCAGACACAAGTCCTAGCTCCACCATGAAGCTCTCTGTCTCTCCCAGCTCACATTAGCTCTTTTCCTTCTCTGAACACCACCTGCAGAACTTGTTCATGCATCATATCTTGACACAGTCCACATCGTTAACTGTAATTTCATGCAAGATATCAATGCTCAGAACCTTCCCTTTCTTCCATGGTATACCCCAACACCACTATCACCACTACCACCACCTTTCAAGAAAACTAGGACAAAAGGAAAAAAAAAACAACCTGATGAATCAGAGTCAATAAGAAAAAGGAGAAGGAGAAAGAGGAAGTCAACAAGGAGGAAGAGAAAATAATTCTATTTTTTTGGATGTGTGGGTGTGCTGTTTGCTCTTGCTATTTCCCAGATTTTCAGCCTGAAAGGGCCTTAACAATCATTGGGTCTAATGTGTCATTTTATTGAGAAGGAACCTGTCTCATAAGTGGCTGCTCCTCCATAAAACTCAGCTGGGCCAGCTCCCTCTGAATTACCCACCCAGCTAGGCCTCTCCATTGCTCTTCCCCCACAGTTTCTGAGAGACACCAGGAGCAGTCTGAAGTGGCTTCATCTGCCTAGTCACTGGCATCTTCACCGCTTTATTCCCCCAACTCCATCTGTTCAGATAGCCACACACTGTCTCCACGTGCTGTCTTCACACATCTAAACCAACAGATGTGCTCCTGAGTACTACTTCACAATCAGTGCTTAGTACTACTTCACCATCTTCTGGGGCTGGGCCACCGGGTCCTTCCATTTCCTGTTAAATACTCTTCCACAATTCATATGGAATTATTCAGATGAGACTGTGTAACAGAAAACAGAGCCCGAGACTAGACGTCACAAGTTTTAGGTTGTACTTCCAGCAGGCTAATTTCTAGCTGGTGTGATTCAGGGCATGTTAATTTACCACTCTGGGTCTCAGTTCCCTCCTGTAAGAAATGATGACAATATTATGCTGACATTGGAAGTCTATTAAAAAACTAGAAATAACATACTTGACCAAGAAAAGATGATCACAAGGGTACACATTATTGACCAAGTATGTGAGCTTTCCCAAACTCCAAACTTACTGCCATTGAGTCAATTCCAATGCATAGTGACCTCCTTTGGGTTTCCAAGGCTGTAAATCTTTATGGAAGCAGACTGCCTCATCTTTCTTCTGAAGAATAGCTGGTGGGTTTAAACCATTGACCTTTGGGTTAGCAGCCAAATGCCTTAACCACTATACCACCAGAGCACCTTATGTCACTAAACCTTTCTGTTCTTCAGTCTCCTCACTTTTGAAGTATGAATAATACAACACTTGAGGAGCTATGAGAGTGTTAAATGAGATGGTGTATGTACAGTGTCCGAATCATGGTAAGTGCTCACTAGTTGTTAAGGAAAAGATCCCTGCCCATCTTAAATCACAGGGTTGTGCTCCAAACTAAGTATAAAGCAATATTTACCAAAAGTTGGTCAAAGATCAACTTAGCGGGGTGCAACAAGAAAATCTACACCTATACCAATTTCTGTTTGGGTCATGATATAAAATATATTTCTAACTATGAGTCACAGTTAAACAAGTTTGAAAAACACTGGATTAAGACCCTCTGCAAATAAAATAGCACATGAAAACCACATGTAGAAGGCTAAATCAGAAACCAGAGCCAGTTGCCATCAAGCTGATTCTGACTTATGGCCACTCCATGATTGTCAGAGTAAAACTATGCTCCATAGGGTTTTCAATGGCTGATGTTTTTCAGAAGTTTAGTGCCAGCCTTTTCTTCCCAGACACCCATGGGTGGACTCGAATCGCCAACCTTCTGGTTAGCAGCTGAGCTCATTAATCATTTGCACCACCTAGCTGCAGCAGTTCATGGACAAGGAACTGCCAGAAATTCAACCCAGTTTCAGAAAAGGAAGTGGAATGAGGGATATCATTGCTGATGTCATGTGGATCTTGGCTGAAAGCAAAGAATACCAGAAATATGTTTACCGGTGTTTTAATGACTATGCAAAGGCATTGAGCTGTATGGCTCATAACAGATTATGCATAACATTGCAAACAATAGGAATTCCAGAACACTTAATTGTGTTCCTGGGGAACCTATACACAGATCAAAAGGCAGTCATTTAAACAGAACAAGGGAACACCGCATGTTTAAAATCAAGAAAGGTGTGCATCGGGGTTGTATCCTTTCACCATACTTATTTAATCTGTATGCTGAGCACATAATCCAAGAAGCTGGACTATATGAAGAATTGGAGGATTCATCAGGATTGGAGGAAGACTCATTAACAACCTGCAATACGCAGATGATACAACCTTGCTTGCTGAAAGTGAAGAAGATTTGAAGCACTTACTGATGAAGATCAAAGACTACAGCCTTTAATATGGATTTCACCTCAATATAAAGAAAAAAATCCTCACAACTGGACCAATAAGCTACATCATGACAAACGTAGAAAAGATTGACATTGTCAAGGATTTCATTTTACTTGGATCCATAATCAACACCTATGCAGCAGTCAAGAAATCAGATGATAAATGGTACTGAGTAAATCTGCTGCAACAGACCTTTTTAAAGTGTTAAAGAGCAAAGATGTCACTTTGAAGACTTTTCAATAGCCTCATATGCATGTGAAAGCTGGACAATGACTAAGGAAGACTGCAGAAGAATTGACATTTGAATTGGGACATTGGCAAAGAATACTGAATATACCATGGACTGCCAGAAGAACTAACAAATCTGTTTTGGAAGAGATATGGCCACAATGCTCCTTAGAAGTAAGAATGGCCTCTCATACTTTGGTTATGTTGTCAAAAGGGACTAGTCCCTGGAGAAGAATATCATGGTTGGTAAAGTGGAGGGTCAGCGAAAAAGGAGAAGGCCCTCAACAAGACGGCTTGACACAGTGGCTGGAACGATAGGCTCAAGCGTAGCCAGAATTCTAAAGATGGTACGGCACTGGGCAGGGTTTCATTCTGTTGTGCACAGGGTCACTAGGAGTCAGAGCCGCTGGACGACACCTAACAACAACAACAAAGTAGAGGGTTGATGACAAAGGGGAAGACCCTCAACAAATGCACTGACAATGGGCTCAAGCAAGCAGTCATTGCTAGGATGGTGCAGGGCCAGCCAGTGTTTTGTCCTGTTACACACAAGGTCCCTATGATTTAGAACTGACTTGACAGCACCTAATAACAACAGGTGCTATTTCAAGGACAATTTCATCTTCCATCTTCACTAGAACTTGGTTTTCCATTGACAGTGGAGTCTTGTTAATACTTCCTTAATTCTTCTTGCATTTGACATGAAACAAAGACCACTGTTCTGCACTGATGACAATAAAAGAGAGAGAACTCCCTTGAATGGAGGCCTAAATTCATCAAGCCTAGGCCGAAGTTGAGGAGCTCTGGTAATGTAGTGCTTAACTCATTTGGCTGTTAACTAAAAGGTTGGTGGTTCAAATCTATCAGCTGCTCCACAGGAGAAAGATAAGGCAGTCCTTTTCCATAAAGATTTACAGCCTTGGGAACCCTATGGGACAACTCTACTCTGTCCTGTATAGTTACCATGAATCAGAATCAATTTCATAGAAGTGGTTTTAGGCCAAGGTCTAGTGTGTGTCTTTCTCCATCCAATGGAATGTTCTGAATACCTTGAGAGAAAATTATTTTGAAGCCCTTTTAGCTGGTAACTTTATCTTGCACTTTGCAGTGATTCCGTCACCCACATTGTGGCAGAAAACAACTCTGGTTCAGATGTTCTGGAGTGGCTTCAGGTACAGAAAATAAAGGCCAGCTCACAGCTAGAACTCCTCGATGTCTCCTGGCTGATAGAATGTATGGGAGCGGGAAAACCAGTGGAGATGACAGGAAAACACCAGCTTGTGGTAAGTGTCACAGCTGTGATTGTCATTGCCCCTTGCTCAGTGGTTAAGGTCGCTGGTTTTAGAAGCACATCAGTAAACCAGTTGCTGTAGAATTGATTCTGACTCATTGTGACCTCATATGTGTCAGATTAGTACTATGCTCCATAGGGTTTTCAATAGTTGATATTTTGGGAATTAGATTGCCAGGGCTTTCTTCCAAGGCACCCCTGGGTGGACTCAAACCTCCAACCTTTTGGTTAGCAACTGAATGCATTAATTGTCTGTACCACCCAAGGACTCCTAGAATCGCACAGATTCTAGAGGTTAAACCCCAGATTCTCTGCTTAATCCCAGTGTGACCTCGGGGAAGTCACTAAGTTTTTCTGAGCTTTAGTTTTCTCTTCTATGTTATAAGATAACAATAGGGCCTGCAGCATAAGATGGCGGATTAGAAAACACACATGTAAAGCCTTTACCACAGTGTCTGGTATATAGAGTAATGGTAACTATTGTGAACAAGTTTACATACAAATATTTCAAAATATCCAAGTTTTGACGTTCTGGTAGCCGGACAAGAAGAGGATTCCTATTTCTTGTTCTTATTACGATAATTCTGAAAGAAAAGGATAAAGAAAATTGATCTCTTTACTCTAAATCCTTGAGCAATAGTGCCAGAACCTCAGGAAGAAAGAGGGTTAGGACCATAACTATATAAATTCACAGAAAAGGAAAATTATATTTAATTGGTGGCTCTTTTTCTTATTTTTATTTCTCATTGCAAAAATAATACATGTTAGCTGTAGCAAATTCACACATTAGAGATGTAAATAACATAACATTTGAGTCTCCCCATGCATTTATTCTCCTTCCATAGCCAGCCACCATTAAATTGCTTCCAATTTTTTCTTTATCAATATTTATTGCTATTATTCATAAGGTTTTCACTGGCCAATTCTTTGATAAGTAGATGGCCCCTTCCTTGTTCTTGTTATTAAAAATGGGTGCTTATGCATTTGTTCAGGTGAAAGGAGACTATTCAGCCAGCCCCAATCCAAGTCCTCAGAAGACTCCACCACCTGCTGTAAAAAAGATCTCACAATACGCGTGTCAGAGAAGAACCACCTTAAACAACAATAACCACATATTCACGGTAATGGGGCTTTGCAGCAACACCCCAAATGAATGGCTTGCAGTTTCTTTCTATTTATCTACAAATTAAATTATGAAAATTTGGGAAAGTTTTCCCCACACCCACCCACCACTTACTATCATGATCTCTGGTTCTCGTTGCTGTCAGAATAGGTCCCCTTCTTTAAAGGAAATGGAGAAATATATTTGAATTCTTTTAAAAATTTTGTTGTAAATTTAAATTATGTTTTTGGCAAGAATTTACACAGCAAAATAGATTCCCATTTAACAATTTCTATACAGTGACACGAGGAGCTCTAGTGGTACAGTTACTTAAGTCATCTGGCTATTAGCTGAAGTTTGGTGGTTCAAACCCACTAGCTGCTCTGGGGAAGGAAAGTGGGGCAATCTACTTCCGTAAAGATTCACTGCCTCGGAAACCCGAAGGAGGTCACTATGAGTTGGAATCGACTCGATGGCAGTGGATTTGGTTTGGTTTGGTTTTATACAATGGCGTTGGTTACATTTTTCACAATGTGTCAACTTTCTCTTTATTTCTGTTCTGGTTGTTCCATTTCTATTAATCTAGCTTCCCTGCCCCCACCTTAACGTCTCATCTTTGCTTTAGGGTAAATGTTGACTATTTGGTCTCATACAGATAATTTTTTAAAGAAGCATAGTACTCGTGGGTGATATTGTTTATTTTATGCACCAATCTGTTATTCAGTTGAAAGGTGACTTCCAGGTATGGTTTCAATACATAGTTTAAAGGGTATCTCAGGGCAATAGTCTCAAGGTTCCTTAGTGTTTATCGATCCAATGAGTCTGGACTTTTTTTTTAATAATTTGAGTTTTGTTCTACATTTTTCACTCGTTCTATCTGGGACCATCTACTGTATCCTTTGTCTGGATTATATTCTTTAGAGATAGTAAATTATTATCGATTGAGCATTGGTGATGAGCACACTTCTCAAAAGGCAACTATTCTTTAAAACCAAATACTCAAATTCGTCCAATACGTAGTAAGAGCAGATTACGTATAAACAGCAATAATGCACAGTTAGCCTTTGCTGGGAAACTAAGAAGATAGAGAGTCAGTGGAACTGGATTCTAGCCTGATAAAGTAGCTTGGGCAAGTCAGGCCCTCTCTCTGAGCCTCAGTTTCTTCATCTCTTTAATAAGAAATTAAGTTCTTGTTGGGAGCTCTGGTGGCTTAGTACACAAGGCAACAGCCGCTACCACATGTGATGAAAGGAGCTCTGGTGGCACAGTGCCTAAGGCATTTGACTGCTAACCAGAAGGTTGGTGGTTCAAACCCACCAGCCACTCTGTGGAGGGAAGATGGAACAGCCTATTTCCTTAAAGATTTACCTCCTGGGAAACCCAAAGGGGTCAATATAAGTCAGAATGGACTGGATGGTAGTGAGTGAGTGAGTGTGAGGCATAAGGAGCCAGAAGTCATACACCTGTGGCTAACCACCTCTGCCAGAAATGCAAAATGCTCCACTTTGAATAATCCTGGCCTTGGGGTGTGGGACGTAAGATTACATCCATTCACTCAGCAAGCCTGTGTTGAGTGCTGTGTTTTATGTACCTGCTAAGAGACAGGACCTGGAGTTCTGGTGGTGCAGTGGTTAAGGTATTTGATTGCTGGCCAAGAGGTTGGTGGTTCAAATCCACCAGATACTTCATGGAAAAAAAGAATGAGATAGTGTGCTCTGTCAAGACGTACATCTTTGGAAACCCCTTGGGGCAGTTTTACTCTGTCCTAAAGTGTCGCTATTGAGTCACAATCGAGGCGGTGACAGTGGGTTTTGGGTTATTAAGAGATACAGATGTCCAATCAAGACAGCATTCTAGCCACAGTGTGGGGAAGATTCCCCACAGTTAGGAAATGCTAACCAGAAGGCTGGCAGTTCAAACCCACCCAGCAACTCTGTGGGACAAAGTCCTGGCAACCGGACAAGCCAGTTGTGAGTATTAGGGTCCTCACTGCATCCTCTATTTGAAGCAAGATTTGTTATCTCACAAAAGTGAGAATGAGGTCACTTTTCGACCAGATTATTTTTGAACATCTGTTGTTGCGTGCCTCCGTGGATTCAAACTCAGCAACCCAATGTGACAGAGTAGAACTGCCCCACAAGGTTTCCTAGGCTGTAATCTTTATGTGAGCAGACTACCATTCCAGATCTTTTCTCCCATGGAGAGGTTCATGGCTTGAGACTGCTCTCCCTTGGCTCAGGAGCAGATCTCTTAACCACTGCATCACTATGTTTCCTTGAATATATAATGGCAGGGAACTCCAACTCTGGTGTCTGTTTTTCCAATTCCACTCCACTCAAGCCAACAGACATTAACTGGGGGGGGGGGGGGCTTTGCCCCAGGCACAAAGCTGTGGGAGACCCAGTTCTTACCTTTAAGGGGCAATCAGGCAACATCAACATTTAAAGCAGAGCAAGAAGGCACTTGTGAGTGACCCCTGCCTCAAAGGCTAAATAATAGACTGTACTTTGCTCACTTGGATTTCTTCTTCAGGATGCCTTTGAGATACTGGCTGAAAATTGTGAGTTTAGAGAAAATGAAGGGTCTTATGTGACATTTATGAGAGCGGCTTCTGTGCTGAAATCTCTTCCATTCACAATCATCAGCATGAAGGACACAGAAGGAATTCCCTGCCTGGGGGACAAGATAAAGTGTATCATAGAGGTAAGGGAGAAATGTGATCCACCCCACCTCCTACTATTTATTTCAGAGGTTGGAATTGGTATTGAGAGAGAAAGACAGATAGAGATACTTCTAATAGATTTTCCTTTCAACTCCATAGATGGCTTCTTTTCCTTTATCTGGATATTTGGATGGATGGATATAAGTAGAGAGATACAGAGATACATGCGTGAGTGCACATATATGCACAATCCATATCCTAATATTACTACAGCTAGAGTATGGGGGTCAGCTAGTGAAAAAAGAACCTTCATATTATTATAAATCATGGTGAAAGACTCACGTGACCTGAACTCTCAACAGTAGGGGAATGGTCTGACTTCAAACACAGTCTGTGCAAAGGACCGCAGCTTAACTCAAGAGACATCACCCTCCAGAACAGTGGCAGAGAAGACATGCAATGAAGCTGATTCTGCACCTCTGTTTGCTTCAGAGAGAGATGTGGGGTGGGGGGGGGCGGGGGCTTATTTATTTAACGATGTTTTATGAGGCCTATTTAGTAGTAAGTTTCCAAACAGTCAAGTACGAGGTAATTTACTGAAGGAAAATAATCCCAACTTAGAAGTGGGTGGCTCTGTGTTAGTCATTAGATGGGCTTGAATTTGTGTTGGCTTCCTAGAGGGTCCAAAATTAACCGGCTCAAATGAAAAGCCCTCTTTTATTCAGCAAGTTCATATCCATTGAAAAGAAAATGATTACAAATATTTGGACATGCATTTGTCAGTGATTAGTTTGGCTTGGTGTTCTGTAGATTTGGACCTGATTCCTACAGTGTCTTTGTCCCTAAGCATTGTAAAGGGGTACTTAGATACATAATGAGCTTGGATTTTCAGAATTAGAGGGAAATGTCTTGTGTTCTCTGGATCAGCTAGGAAAACATCGTGCTTGCAATGGGATGTGTTGCATGAAAAGTCAAACTACCGTATCTATGAATTTGAGAGTCTCGGACTGATTGTCTAACCTCATTAATTTAAATTATTTTTCAACTATCCATGTAGGAAATTATTGAAGATGGAGAAAGCTCTGAAGTTAAAGCTGTCTTAAATGATGAACGGTATAAATCCTTCAAAGTAAGTTATTTTACATATATTTACCTATGATGGCTTTTCAGTTCATCATATAACTTATCCTGGGTGGTCTAGGAGGCAGGTGCCTAAATAAATATGAGTTCCCAAGCTTATTGCTGTGCTACCAGGAGATACAAATCACCTTACCTTCCAGGAGGCTGTTACTCTTGGGTACAAATATCATGGGGACTCACGGGCCATGGGGTCATATCAAGCCTGCTCATAAAAAGCATACTGTGTCTGGAATGATCCTCACTGCATCCTCTATTTGAAGCAGGGTTTTTTATCTCACAATTTACCTTACCTTAGAGTTGCAGGTAAGGAGTTCTGGTGGTGCAGGGGTTCAGGTGTTTGGATGCTAACCAAAAGGTCAGTGGTTCAAACCCACCAGCCACCCTGCAGAAGAAACTGTAAGACTCAGACTGCCTGATTCTGTAAAGATTTACAGAAGAATCAGACTGCCTAATTCTGTAAAGATTTACAGCCTTGGAAACCCCATGGGGATTTCCCCAGAAGTGTTATGCACAGGCCTAAAATGTGGTCTTGGATAGGAGCCCAGGTTTGCTGTATGGATAGACCAAGGTTGGAGTCTGGATTCTATCTCTTGCCAGCTGTGTGGTGATGGAGGACCGGTGTCACCCCCATGAGCACTCCTCCTTAAAAAGTGAGAGTAAATATTCAGAGCATGATTATACGTAAAAGACTGTTGCAAAGTGATGTGTCCAACAGGGGGAACTACCATACTTATTGGCAGACACTAGAGGCAATCCTACAATCATATTAGGAGTTGACAAGCCATATGCAGACGCCAGAACCTGGTTCCTCAGCTCTGTTTTGCTTAGTAATACTGTGGTGGTTATGTTTGTGTGTCACCTTGGCCAGGCCTGGTTGAGTGGCTACACAGCTGGTGGCAGTTATTCCCCATGATGAGACTGGCAATCAACTCCATGGTGGGATCTACCATAAGCAGCTGAGTATCTGCCTTAGGGATGTGGTCCACTTCCTGTATATAAGGAGAAGACTTGGGGATAGTCTCCAGCTTATGGCACGCTTGAATCCTGCATGCAGCCATGTCAGTGTTCAGCAGCTGTCATGTTCTACTGACCTTGGGACTTTCAATGGACTTAAATTAATGGTCTGCTGTGTGGTTTGGTAACATCGGGACTGTGCCTTTTTATTTGTCAGCTTTGGATTTATCAGTCTTAGCAGCCAGCAGCTGTCTGAGTGAAGAAAAGCTGCTAGCTCCAATGGGCCAGGAACAGGAGGCAGAGCTGATGTTCAAGGCTGAGGGGCTTTCACCCAGCCCCTAGAGCCTGGCACTTTTAACACGGACTTAAAGCCTCCAAAGTGTAAGAGGATAAACTCCTGTTTGTTAAGGCCATCCCATTTGTGGTATATTCTTGTCAGAGCGAACTAGGTAACCAGAACAAATACCATTTGTCAGGAAAGGATTCTGAAACAAAACGTCCTCAGTAAACTACTATCACCCACCTACTTGTCATATCCAGGATAATTTGGGCCAGAGATCTGCTTATACACTTTCTGAGTCCCTTGAGACCTTGAAAAGTACCACTTCATTGTCATAATGATTATATTAGAAACTAATGGCGTGCCATTTCCTCCATTTTAGCTCTTCACTTCTGTATTTGGAGTGGGATTAAAGACATCTGAGAAATGGTTCAGGATGGGTTTCCGAACTCTGAGTAAAATAAGAACTGACAACACCCTGAAATTTACACAAATGCAGAAAGCAGGTAAATTGTCTCTCCTGAAAAATCTCACGTGGTTGCTACCAGCTGGCCAGGTTGTAGTGCTGATCCAATAAGTCAGCTGCACTTTGACTCCAATCTGGGTGAGCTAGGATACTTTATGGCTTTCTTTGATGTTTTGGGGCTTGCGGTGAAATTACAGACTTATACTCTAAAAGCAAAGAGTTTATTGAAGGATTAACATTTTGTGAAATGGGGAAACACACAAGCACTCAGATAAGATGCTGCACTGTCTTCCAAATTGCAAAGAGAGAGAAGCTTTTACCAGGTGAAACAAACAAAGGCAGGTACAGGGCAGGGGGGAAGCATGGCAAAAAGTACAGGGGTTTGTTTAACTATCATCTTAAACATTTAGAAACAGCAAGTTTGCTTGTTACATCCTGAGATTTGTTTAACAAGGCAGTCTATCAGGAATGAGTTGAGTCACAGCTCTGTTTGCCTCTTGCTTTAAAGTAACAGGCTTATGACTTTACCTAGCTATGAGTTTACAGAATTAGCAGAAATGGAGCAGAAGATTTCAGTGAGTGAAAATTAAGCTTGATTAAGACTTGGTTGATTGACATTTACTTCATCTTGATTACAGACTTATGAAATAGCTATAGTCTTCGTCTTAATATTGTCATTCTAATCCTATTTCCTAATCTCCAGGGACAAGAAAGCAAGGCATTCTTTTAAGACCAAACAGTAAACATTCTTAACAGACACTTTCAATATGCAATTTCTCATCCAAGCTAGAAATCCTATTTCTTGCTCCATTTGTGTTATAAGCAGTTAAACTCAAAAGGCTGAATTTTCTCTTTAGAACAGTAGAAGTAAAGATTTCAATTTAATTCAGGCTAGATTTTTAATTTAGGCCTGAAATCACCATTTCAGCCAGGCCAGAAATTCAGTTTTAAACTTAAAAGTCCATTTACATGATTAGGACCTCTGGTGGCATAGTGTTTAAGGCATTTGACTACTAACCAGAAGGCTGGTGGTTCAAATCCACCAGCCACTCCTCAGAAGGAAGACAAGGCAATCTTCTTCTGTAGAGATACTGCCTAAGAAACCCAAGGAGGGCTCTCTATGAGTCAGAACCAACTAGATGGCAGTGAGTTTGGTTTGGGGTTTATACAGATGATTACAAACACAAAATTTCAGAATCAGACAAACCTGGCTTCAAATCCTGCCCCAGCACTTTCTAGAACTGTGACTGTGAGCAAGTTAAAGTCTTTGAGCCTTAGTTACCTCATCTATGAAAGGGAGATTGTATTGAGGAATAAATCAGATACAGGAAGTTCCTGGTTATCTCAGTGTCTGAGAGCTGTTCCTCAGTGTGTCTTTAAAAGTCTGTAGGTAAGTCAGAACAGGTGCATACAATTCTTATTTAGCCTTACTTTAGTGTAAGAAATGTGGTGGTTAAGGTATTTGGCTGCTAACCAAAAGGTCAGTGGCTTAAACCCACCAGCTTCTCCATGGAAGAAAGATGAGGCAGTTTGTTTCCATAAAGCCTCGGAAACCTAATGAGTGTCTCAATGAGTCAGAATTGACTCGATAGCAGTGAGCTTTTGGTTTGGTTTTAGTACAAGAAAAGGATTGAAGGATTTTTAATCATTTAAAAGCTGCACATGCAGCAAGTGAAGGTGATGGTGATGAAGAATGTGTTGCAAGTAGAAGTTGATTCAATAGTTTCAAAGTCAGGGTAAATTTACATAACATTAAAGGGCACGTACAAGTTGTCTGTAAGTCAGACATTCATAACCAAAGGACTGCCTGTGCTGCAGGAAAGCCCTTAGCACTCTGCCTGCACAGAGCAAAGATAATCTGCATGGTGCTGATGTCCAGCCGTCACGTTCGGTTGTACTCTTGATCTGGTTCTTATCGAATGACTCCTCTAGACATTGGGTCCTGGTTGTCTCCTGTGGTAGCAGATATGGGTGAGAAGTCAAGAACAGAAAGTTAACATGGAGGATGGAAGAATAAAGAATACTCGAACAAACTAGAGTTGTTGCTTGGCATAAATGTGAATACACTTTGTTGTTGTTGTTGTTGTTATGTGCCGTCGAGTTGGCTTGACTCATAGCGACCCCTCCTTGGGTTTCCAAGGCAGTATCACTACGGAAGTAGATTGCCTTATCTTCCTTCTGAGAAGTGGCTGGTGGGTTTGAACCGCCAGCCTTCTGGTTAGCAGTCAAGTGCCTTAGGTACTACAGTACCAGAGCTCCTAACTGGATACACTTTAGAGATGGAAAAACACCAAGAAAACATAAAGCAAATGATCAAATCTAGACATGGTGTTGAACTACCTGACCATGTCTGTTTAGCCTGAGAAGAGAAGTCTGTGGTGAGACATGAAACTGGTTTAGCTACTTAAAGCCCTGGCAGGGCCTCTTAGACTTGAAGGTCACTTCTATTTTATGAGGGTCCTAGTGTATTTTTTTAAGTGTGAATTTGCAGCATTATTCACAATAGTCAAAATGTGAAAACAATCGAAGTATCCATTAACACATGAACAGATAAAGAAAATGTGGTATAGCCATACAATGGGATATTGTTGTTGTTAGGTCACTTCTAGTCAGTTCTGAATCAAAGTGACCCCATATGACAGAGTAGATCCTGTCTCACAGGGTTTGCTTGGCAGTAATCCTTATGGAAAGAGATCTCCAGGTCTTTTACCTGCTGAGCTCTGAGTGGATTCGAACCTCCAACATTTCAGTTAGCAGCTGAGCAGTTCACTATAGTGCCACCAGGGCTCCTTAATGGAATATTATTCAGTCATAAGAAAGCTTTCTTATACATGTTCTGATACATACTATAACACAGGTGAATCTTCAAAACATTATGTTGAGTGAAGTAAACCATTGTGAATAATGCTGCTATGAACATGGGTATATACAAACGGTTGCTTTGCAATACAATATAAGTGTGATTCAAAATAGAGTCACGATCGGTCTTGAGGTCAATGGCATCTAGATTACAGGGATTGATAAAGTCACCAGAATTTTTTTGTGATGTGAAAGTAAGGGATTGTTGTAGGAAATCTCCTACAAGAGGACACCAAACAACAACAACAACAACAGAAGCCCAGCTATCTTCTGTTTAAATGACCCCAAAATGAAGCAACTATAGAGGAGGCAAATAAAATCTCGGTGGGTCACATCAGTGATAGTACAGAAGACTCCTATGTATCGTTTGTAAAGGGCTAACCTCTGAAAGATCATTCATGAGCTTTATATTATACCACATAGGAAACAAAAGAGTGCGAGAAAAAAAGACCCAGTTTTATATTATGGGCTCTGAAAGTGCACAATTAATAAGGGCCATTTCTACTAGCTTTAGAGATGGCATTAAAATAAATTCACATACGTGTTAAGCATAAATATCAAGTAAATGGCTTAGGATCAGATTAAGGACTCCCAATACTCAGAAATTGGGAGGCAATGTGATGTTTCACTGAGATGACACTCTTATTAGATGACACCAAGTGCTGTCAGGATCTAAGGAGCTTCCATTTCCTCAGCTTTGTAAACTGGATTTTTTCCCTTCCTACTGTGCTTTCCCAACCCAGTGAATGAAGCAGGTGTCATTCATGTAAGCAGTCAGTGATAGCTATCAGACTGTTTAATGAGGTTATTTCATGTAGAACTCAAAGGATGCCTTCCCATCATACTTGTAGTCCAAAACACTGGTTTATGCATCTCTTGTAGCCGCACTACGGTTAATGGAATTGTCAATGGGAATAGATTAGAATACAGCAAAAGGTAAGCTAATTGAACAGATTGCAAGTACGAGCCACAGGTTGGATGGAAAACTTGATTTGGTATGACTTATAATTACACTGGATTGCAGTTTCATGAGGCTTGGACACTGGTCATGCCATGTTGGTCTTGAAAAGTCAAATTTCGACAGACAGCACAAACATAACATTATGCAGTATGATAAGTCTCTTGTAAAAAGCTAAGCTCCCCAGACCAAAAACAATTGTCATTTAAGTTGTTTCCACCTGGTCAACAAATTATCATATGACCTCCCTATTCCTTTCATTTCTGATATCTGCACATCTTCTTAAAGAAGCGATAACCATGCCTTTGTTTCCCTAATTGCACATACCTCACTGAATAAGTTTTATGGCTGCCAAGTAAGTTGTACTTTGAGTATCAGTCATGATAGCAATTTCTGTGTAAAAGAGCCTGAAGGGAACACTGCTTTTTTTAATCAAAATTCCAAAAATGATCATGTTGCAATAAAAATTTTAGCTTTATACAAGAAAGAAAAAGAAAAGACCCTTTTTAGGACTTATAAAAAGGGAAAAAGCTGTGCTACAAAGCTTGTGGTTTGGTATTGGACACATGTTTTTAGGTGGATGAACACTTTTCTCTTGGTCTGGCCAACGTCCTCTTGACACTATTCTCACTTAAATCTCTAAGTGAGCCTGGAAAGTTTGAATTTGAGAACTGTGCACATGGTGTTCAAGCCAAACAGCCTCCCTGTCCTCTCCCTCCCAGAAGCCTGCTGGTGAGATAGGAAGGACCAATAGATATATTCCATGTCATTCTCAAGAACTGAATCAGGGCTAGTGACAGATGAAACTCCAAGGAAGTAGACTTAAGCTCACCAAAAGAAAGAACAGCCTAAACAGAGTTTACAGTTAGCAAATGGGCTGCCTTCAGAAAAAATCAAGTCCCCAGTTACTAGAAAGATTCAAGCAGAGTTTGAATTATCCTCTTTTGGGGATCCTACCTAAGAGCAGTGGCTCTTATTGAAGAATAAAAGCTTATAATTCTCCCTGAAAATCCTTGGCCCTAAGGCCCTATGGCCATAGAACTCCAGTAGTACAGTGGTTAAAGCATTTGGTTACTGTGGTATTTAAGTTTGTGTGTCAACGTGGCTGGGCCTGGTTGAGTGGCTGGGCAGCTGAATGTAGTATTCCTCAGGATGAGACTGGTAATTAACTCCACAGTGGAATCTACTGTGAACAGCTGAGTAGCTGCCTTAGGGGTGTGATCTGCTTCCTTCTTATAGGAGAAGGCTTGGGGAACAGTCTCTAGCTTATGGCACCTTGAACCTTGCATGTAGTCATGTTGTTGTTCTGCAGCCTGCCGTACTCTGCTGACCTTGGGACTTTCAATGGACTTAAATTCATGGCCTGCTGTGTAGTTTTGTAACATTGGGACTGTGCCATTTCATTTGTTCACCTTGGGCTTGTTAGCCTCAGCAGCTAGTAGCTGCCTGAGTGAAGAGATGACTCTAGCTACAGTGGGGCAGGAGCAAGAGGCAGAGCTGAAGCCCAAGGTCGAGGGGTTTTCACACAGTCCCTAGAGCCTGGCACTTGGAACTCAGACTTCTAGCCTCCCAAACTAAGAGAATAAACTCCTGTTTGCTAAGGCCATCCCATTTGTGGTATATTCTTGTCAGAGTGACACTAGGTAACTAGAAAAATTACTAACCCAAAGTTAGTAGTTCAAATCCACCAGCTGCTCCACAGAAAAAAGGTGAGGCAGTCTGCATCTGTAAAGATTTACAACCTGGAAAACCCTATTGGGCAGTTCTACTTGATCCTATAGCGTTGCTATGAATCAGAATTGACTTGATGGCAGTAGGTTTGGTCTTGTTTTTCAGGACCTAAGAATGTCCCCACATCCCTGATCACCTCCCTTCCAATGATTCATCTCAAGTATTGGAGATATGAACCCCTATCACTTTCCAACCCTAAGCCTTCCCATCCCAAATCTTTATGTATTATCTTTTTTAAATAATAGAAAACAGTATTATATTTTTTAAATAATAGAAAACAGGTTTTTGATCAAAAAGTCTGTTTCTACAGTTGGGAAATCAGGTGTTTTTTTAATTTTTTAAATTTTTATTGTGATTTGAGTAAAAGTTTACAAAGCAAATTCATTTTCCACACAGCAGTTCATACACATTTTGTTTCATGGCATTGGCTGCAATTCCTCACAATGTAACAGCTCTCCTCCCACTTTCTCCCTGTAGTTACCTCTTCCTTGTGTCCTTCATGCCTTCTGTTCTCCCACAATTGATCGCTCCAAGGAGTGTATCTCTACCTGATGTAAATGTTCACCCCATATGCTTATCTATTGTTTGGCTGGAAGCCACAGGAGTGAGTTCAGTTCCAGACCTGAAGGGTAACTAGGCCTTAAGGGTCTCACCAGGCTCTATAAGACCAGTAAACCTTGTATTTTTTCTTTCTTTTTTATGATTTTGAGTTTTGTTCCACATTGTTCTCCCATTCTATCTAGGATCTCCTGCACTGATCCCTTTCCGAGTGGTTGACAGTGGTAGCCAGTCACCATCTAGTTTTTCTGGTCTCATGGTCACATGGTCTACTAGTCCCTGGAACTAATTGTTTTCATGTATCTTTATTTTCTTTATTCTTATTTTCTCTGGATGAGGAGAGACCCTTTGTTGCATCTAGATGGCTGCTTGCTAGCTTTTAAGATCCTAGTCGCTACTCACCAAAGTAAGAGGTGGAACAGTGTTTTGTGTAGTATGTTATGCCAGTTGAGCTTGATGTCCCCTGCAACCGTGGTCCCAAGCCCACAAGTCCAACTACTCACTCCCTCAGGGTGGGTGGGTGCAGCCAAGAAGTTATCATAACTTTTCCCCTTGTGTTCTGGTTCCCTAGTGCCACTCTGACAAGAATATACCACAAATGGGATGGCCTTAACAGACAGGAGTTTATTCTCTTACAGTTCAGGAGGCTAGAAGTCTGAGTTCCAAGTGCCAGGCTCTAGGGGCTGTGTGAAAGCCCCTCGACCTTGGGCTTCAGCTCTACCTCTTGCTCCTGGCCCACTGTAGCTAGAGGCATCTCTTCACTCAGGCAGCTACTAGCTGCTGAGGCTAACAAGCCCAAGGTCAACAAATGAAATGGCCAGTCCCAATAATACCAAACTATATGGCAGCCGTAATTTAAGTCTATTGAAAGTCCCAAGGTTGGCAGAGCATTATTCTGTTTCTATGGAAACAAAACTTGACATTAATACTTGTGGTCATGTTAGCTCTATCTGGGCCGCAGAATTCCCAACCAATGAAGGCTAATTATTTCACTCTCTCCATTGACCTGTTGACTGGCCTCTCAGGATTCCTCTACTATGAAGACCTTGTTAGCTGTGTGACCAGGGCAGAAGCAGATGCAGTCAATGTGCTGGTTAAAGAAGCCGTGAGGGCATTTCTGCCAGATGCCTTTGTTACCATGACAGGAGGGTTCCGGAGGTAAGTAATGAAGATTGCTTTTGCCTCCTTGGTATAATCCCTTCAGTGGCTCCCATTGCCTACCCACTTTTGAACATTGCACAAAAAGCCTTTTGTGATCTGGCACCTACCTCTCTCTGCAGCGACGTTTTCTGCCCCTCCATGTTTCATTTCAGCAACCCACACAGGGCTGTTTCTTGCCTCTGTGACTTTGTTTAGTCAAGCCTTTCTGGTTGTAGTGCCTTTCCTCATATTGTTACCTGGCAACCTTCTGATCCTCTACAACTCAATTCAGACATCATCTCCTCCAGGAAGCCCTTCTTGACTCCCTCTTCCTCTATGTGGGTCAGGCATGTCTCTTCCATGTTCCCTTGACCACTATCAATCACTTGTTAAACAGCATGATTGTTTTGTTTGTATGTATGTTTCACCCATGAAACTTTTAAAGCTTAGTGTTTATTGTGAGTCAGCTCAGTGCTCAGGGCCTAACACAAAGAAGATGGTCAAGAGAAGTTGATTGAGTCAATGAATGAATGAATGAGCTCTTAGCACAGATAATGTGTAGTTGTTGGATACTGAAACCTCCAATTCACAAAAGGATCCCTTCCCTGCCATCCCTCCTGCCACTCTCCCTCTGACCCTCTGACTAGCTGGCTGTTGGCTGCCTGGCAAGCCACGTTCTGAGGCTAGGCAGGAATTGGGAGAAGAAGATGGAATCTAAGAAAATGCCCTTCATCTGTGTTATCATTTCAAGAGTTCAGCATTGGATGTCATAGTTCTTGGTTTGCTTTTTTGTCATGTTTCTCTCTCTCTCTATAGAAGAATTATTCTTCTTTGTCATTTTCTCCTCATGTATATAATTGTATATGTACTATATATGAATTTTTTCCTGTGTTATAAACTTATTTTGCATTGAATAGAGTTAGTTTAAAATAGGTATAGGATATATATTTTTTTAAATTTTATGTTGTAACCTTAAGCATAGGGCATAGAAACAAAGCTGCTTTTTTTTTTTTTTTTAATTGAGAGCTAAAAATCTAATTTATTTCCACTTTATTCTATTTTTTAATCAGAGGTAAGAAGGTTGGGCATGATGTAGATTTTTTAATTACCAGCCCAGGATCAACAGAGGAAGAAGAGCAACAAGTTTTACACAAAGTGACAAAGTTATGGGAAAAGGAGGTAAGAAGGAAGATAAAAATAGATGCTTAAAAACTCACATATTATATAAACACTATTGAAGTTTGCACATTATCCACCTCCTGTGTAATGACCTGTAATCAATTCTTAATTATTTGTAACAGTTTATACAATGCCACATGAGGAGCAATGAGACCTATCTGCTTCACTCCATGTGCATGTTATAAATATGTATCTTGCCTACACTTATCTCATACCAGGGAGTCTAGGGCAGTGAGGTGTCTTGTGTTTGACATGCAGAGGCATTAAAGCACCCAAACACTACAGAATACATGATAACACACCCCAAAAACTGAAATTATTTGGGGATTATTTGTTCTTACAGTTACCATTCATGTTTAAGAGTTAATTTTATGTTTAAGCCCACATCTGCCCAACGCCCTGAAAACCTCTCACCCTTGGGTAGATAAATTGGATGCCAGCAAGCATTACTGAAGTTAGAATCATGCTTAACTTTCTGAGCTGAAACATGAGTCACTTAATTTATCTCACCATCTCCAAGGCAGGCAGAGTAACAACCTCTCATGAGAAAAAAATATCCCAAAATGTTACCTAGAGGTAGCAAGTCATCTGTCCAGAAGTGGCCTAGAGACTCTAGCTACTACCGTTTGGGCCAATTAAACCCAGTCATCAGGATAATATAAAGGGATGCGTTGACTCAAAGCAACATCACAGAAGCAGCTTGGCTTTTTGTTATGGGCTGGTTGCTTGGCTTTAAAATACATGTGGAGAGGGGCAGAGTGCTGGTGATTCAGAAGAGGGAGGGATCTTTTGCAGCTTTGCCATTGGATGGCTTTGACTCAGCCCCACTAATGGCTGCAAAGAGAGCCACTTCCTTAGCTTCCTATCCTAGTATTGCCAGACGGACCTAATGCAAGCACAAAAACACTCCCAGTTCTGCTCAACTGTGTAAAGATTTCATTAACAGCTTTTGTTAGGAGCCCAATATAGGATCATGAACGTCTTCTTGGGGGACCCATGCTGATGTCTTCCTGTTTTTTTCAGGGATTACTTTTATACTGTGACCTTATTGAGTCTACATTTGAAAAGTTCAAGTTGCCTAGCAGGAAGGTGGATGCTTTAGATCATTTCCAAAAATGCTTTCTGATTTTAAAATTGAACCATCAAAGGGTAGACAGCTGTAAGTCCAACCAGCTACAAGGCAAGACCTGGAAGGCCATCCGTGTGGACCTGGTCATGTGCCCCTATGAGTGCCGAGCCTATGCCCTGCTGGGCTGGACTGGATCCCGGGTAAGCACTACAAAGATCAACCAGACCATATTAGTTTTCCAAAAGGCATCAGCTGTGTCTACCCGAGCCCAGGGGAGAGACAATGTCAGTGGGGGTGGGGTGGCAGGGGAAGAGGCAATGCCCACTAGGATCATGGGAAATGGCATTATGAGAACATCACCTTTACAAAATTTCAGTATGCGAGGATGTTAGAGCTGGAAGGCAAGGGACCTTAGTCATTCATTACCCATCCTCTCGTTTGACCAAGCATGATTCAGAGAGGCTGAGTGACTTGCCAAGAGACACACAGCCATGTAGAGACAACATGCAGGCTAGACTCTTGGTCCCCTGACTCCTCATCCTCTTTTAACAATATATATATTGCATATATATATATGTTTAAATTTAATAAAAAGCTATCATCTATCCTGCATTTGCTCTCGATCAGGTATTGTTCTGAAAATTTCACATATTTTAAAAAATAATACTCACTCATTCATTCAGCAAATATTTGCCATACATCTTCTATGTGCTGAGGCACTATTTGAGGTCATGGGGGTGTATGGTTATGAACAAAACATCTGTATCTCTTCCTATGAAACTTAGGTTCTAATGTGTGCATGCAAGGGACAGGGGAGAGGAGAGAGGGTTGGGGAGTGGGGAACTTGGTGGTTGCATAGACAAAAAATAAACAAGAAAACAAACAGGATAATTCCAGAATGTGGTGAGTATCCTGAGAAGTGACCAGCAGCATCTGGGGGCTCTTTAGGAGAGAGCAGTAGGTGAAGCACTCTCTGGCCAACCTCTGAGCAGAGTTAGAAATAAAGAGGCAGCATCATGCCCTGACTGGGGAAAACATTCCAGTCGGAGGGACTAGTAACCCTGAAGGCTGAAGGCTGGAGCATGTTAGTTCATCTGAGGGAGTCAAAAGACCTGAGTGACTACAAGGGGATAGTGGGGGAGGCGAGGCTGGAGAAGTAGATGGGGCCAGATTGGCTAGATCTGTAGGCCATGTTTGGATTTTATTCCAAGAATGATGGAACATGGAGGTGGTATGACCTGTTTGCCCTTTTGTAAAAGAATTGCATGGTTGCTATGTTGATAATGGACTGGGGGAGGCAGAGGGGCAGGGGTAGAGGTCGAGAGACCACTTAGGAGGCTCTGACAGTAGTAGGATTATAGGGCGGCCAATTGAGCAGGAAGAAGCAGTCTTTTAGGGACTCATTTTGGAAATGGAGCTAACAGGGCTTGCTGATGGATTGTTGTTGTTGTTGTTGTTGTTGTTTTGCCGTCGAGTCAGCCCCGACTCATAGCGACCCCTCCTTGGGTTTCCGAGGCAGTATCACTACGGAAGTAGGATTGCCCAACCTTCCTTCCGAGGAGTGGCTGGTGGGTTTGAACCGCCAGCCTTCTGGTTAGCAGGCAAGTGGATTAGATGTAGGAAGTAAGGGAGAGAGGAGATCCAGGATGCCTCTACTGAGAGATTGTTAAACCTATTTGATAAATGAGGCAGCCAAAGTGCCCCAGGCAGGCATAGTACTAGAAATCAGGCCTGTCAGTTGTCCAAACACTGAAAAGAGGGAGTGTGGTAGTTAAGGTTATATGTCAACTTGGCTGGGCCTAGTTTAGAGTGGCTGGGCAGCTGGATGTAGTTACTCTTCATGATGAGACTGGTAATCAACTCTATGGCGGAATCTACTAGAGCTGCTGAGTAGCTGTCTTAGGGATGTGGTCTGCTTCCAGATATAAGCAGCAGCTTTGAGAAAATTCTGCAGCTCTTTGATGCACTTGGACCTGCATGTAGCCAAGTCTTCATTCAGCAGCCTGCCATTTGGGACTGTCTCTGGACTTGAGCTATGGCCTGCCATCTTGTTTGGTAGTCTTGGGACCGTGCCATTTTATTTGTTGACCCTGGGTTTGTCAGCCTCAACAGCCAACATCTGCCTGAGTGAAGAGACGTCTCCAGCTCCAGTGAGCCAGGAGCAAGAGGCAGAGCTGAAGCACAAGGTCAAGGGACTTCACCCAGCCCTAGAACTTGGCACATGGAACCCAGACTTCTAGCCTCCTAAACTGTAAGAGAATAAATCCCCGTTTGTTAAGACCACACACTTGTGGTATTTCCTGTTAGAACAGCACTGGAGAACCAAAACAAGGGGGAAATCAGCTGCTACTTGGACATAGGGAAGCTCTCAAAGAGGAGAGAGCTGGCAGAGCCTGGACAGTGAGCATGGCAGGGAATGATCATGAATATGAAACAGAGGCAAGTATGAAAACACTTGTCTACCACCTTCACCCCGTCTCCCACCCCGTACCCCTGCTGCAAAGGGCTGGACTGTACCCCAAGTAGGCACAGAAGTTCCTGGCTGGCCAAAAGGGGAGCTAAAAGACAAGAGGGCACATGGGGAACTTCTCCTTACCTGTGGCCAGTTTCTCTTCAACCTCCATTCTGAGATCCAGAACCAGTTATGAAGCAGCTTGGCCCATGGTGCAGGTCAGAGGCCAAGTGTGCAGGCGTTGGGACAGGCATCCGTAATAAAAAAAGAAAAAGAAAAGAAAAGCCCAACCACGGTGACTGAGTGGAGGAGAGCCTTCCTGTACTTTTGTGTGCTGGGGAACATAGAAGTGCTGAAGGAAGCACCCTGAGTACATCTTATGAATCCAACCCTGAAGCTATTGGCTCAGAGAATTAATGAAATCTCATTAAAAGAACCTTGCTGGAGGATTTGCTGTGTCTGTAAGTGTGGCCTGAATTAAAGGAGCATTCTTGCTCCCAAAAGGGAAGGTCCTGTCAGACTACCATGACATGGCTTCAGCCAAGAGCCTGGGAGGGCCAAAGAATTTACTCCTTTCTTTCATCCATAGCCCTGACCCTAATAGGTGCCTGACCTAAGGATTGATGTAGACAAAAGCCAGAGAATAATTAAAAAAAAAAAAAAAATGGCTGCAGATGAGAAGCACTACTGGGTGGAGGCTGGGAATCTCTGTACCATTAGGTTCAAGAATGATGACCCCTAGATCTCTCCTGGGGACAATTTTTAAAGCAAAAGTGGTAGAGACTGTAAGTTAGAGAAAAGACTAGGTAAAGTAGAGAAAAGATTGGATTTTCTTTTTACCTTATCAATCTCATCTCACTCACTGCTGTTGAGTCACACCTGATCATACCAACCTCTCCTTGGGTTTCCAAGGTGGTATCTCTACAGAAGTAGATTTATTTCCCAGTCTTCCTTCCAAGGAGTGGCTGGTGGGTTTGAACTACCAGCCTTCTGGTTAGTAGTCAAATGCCTTCTCTTTCCCCCTTTTGGGATTTGGAAACATTCATACACTCAACAAACATTTGTTTGAACACTTACTGTGCCCTTAGCATTGTGCAGAGAGCTCTGGTGGTGTAGTGCCTAAGGCATTTGACTGCTAAGTAGGAGGCTTTTTTTTGGTTTAGCATTGTGCAAAGAGCAGGTTGAGAGGAAAGCAAGCAAACATGAGTTCTGTCATCATAGAGCTTTGCCCTGGGGGATAATACCACTTTGTGACTGTTTAGTAGAGATAGATATTTACTGTAAGGACTTAGATTTCTCTAAATACATAATAAAGAGCCCTGGTGGTGTAGCGGTTAAGTGCTTGGCTGTTAACTGAAAAGTCAGAAATTCAAACCCACCAGTGGCTCCAGGGGAGAAAAGACCTGGCAGTGTGCTCATGTAAAGATTTCAGCCTAACTAACCTTTTGGGGAAGTTCTACCATGTCCTATAGGGTTGGTATGAGTTGGAATCACCTTGATGGTATACAACAACACAAACACATAATACTGAAGACATTCTGGACTTGATAGCAATTTATTTTAATTTATCTCTTGTCCAGCAATTTGAGAGGGACCTCCGGCGCTACGCTACACACGAGCGGAAGATGATGCTGGATAACCATGCCCTGTATGACAAGACCAAGGTAGATTTTTTCTCCTTTGACCCTCATCCCTAAGGCTGGCTCTCTGAGCACTTTCCTGACCTGATTTTAGTGTCCAGGTACAGTTTCCTTTGCCATGAGTATCCTGTTCTCACAGATTACAGTTGAGGCCTGCTGGAAAGATCTTAGGAGGCACACAGTCTCCAGCTGACCCACAGTGCACCTCTGGGGCTTTTGGTTCAATGGTGATGAAGTAGTTGGGTTTTCAGAACCATTCTAGCAGTAGATGCATATTGAGTTTGATGTCCTTGGTGTTTGCAATGAGTAACTACAGAAAACCAAAGATCCCCCTAAGTCACACATACCTCTCTAGTACCCTTTAAATGCAGTGGGCGGTAGCATCTTGAGTAATCACTTTTGTCATTAATGTGTGTCTACTGCAAGAATAAAGAATAAAGAACAACAAAGCTGCCCTGAAATGGAGATGGACAGTCGTTAGACACACTAGCCTTGCAGAGGTCATGATGCAAGTTCATGCTTCAGCAAAATGATAAATTACATACAAATTATGAAGAGTTAAATATTCAACTGTTTATATCCACAAGCGCCGAGGACCGATCATTCTAACAGTGGTTAAAGACACTAAACCAGCCTCCAAGGGGAAAAGAGATAGACAAGAACTTGAAGCAATGGTGCTTACCCTCTAGGAGCTAATAGTCTAAATAACTATGACGAAAGAAGAGCATTTAGCTTACTGTAGCATCCAGGGTTAACACTGGCTTCAAAGATGACTGCATCCAAGTGCAGAAGTAGACTTTCCTCAGTGCTGGTTTCATGCTCAGGCTGGGTGAGTTCCATCCTCCTAACTTATTTCCTACAAAGAGGATGAGCTTCTTCCCTAACAGTTCCAGCAAGAATCCTAGCTGATGTTCATTGGCCAGGCCTGGGTCATTTGTCTTCACTTGGAGCCCAGGGTGGGTTGTTCCTCATCTGAACATCATAAACTGAGAATAAGGAGGGATGGTTTCTCTAAAAAAAACTTGAGGTGCTGCTGCCAGTTGACGGCCATTGATGCTGGCAGGAAAGGCTCCAATGTTGAGTGTGTAAGTGAAGGTATACTCACCAAACTCACTACCATCGAGTTGGGTCTGACTCATAGTGATCCCTCCTTGGGGTTCTGAGGCGGTATCACTATAGAAGTAGATTCCCCAACCTTCCTTCTGAGGAGTGGCTGGTGGGTTTGAACACCACCAGCCTTCTGGTTAGCAGTCATATGCCTTAGGCACTAAGCCATATACTCATGTAATTAAAAAAATTAGGAACACTTACAAATTAACACATCATAAATAGTTTAGCATAAGCAAGTGCCTATGTAAGTGAGCTATAAGCAAGAGGGATGGAGAAGTGGTGGTTGGTCTTAAAGAGATTATGGGGTGGGAGGCTAGGGCAGGGGCAGAAGTGCAAGACTGGGAGGAGAACCTAACATACAAATATCCTATAATTACTATAGTAGCAGTTCTCAATTCTGGCTGCACATTATAATTACTCAGTGTGTTTTTAAGTAGACTGATGCCAAGATCTCTTGTCCTGAGATTCTGACTTATTTGGACTGGGATAGACTTAAGCATTGGTTATGAAAACTCCTTCAGGTGGTTCTGACGAACAGCTGTGGTTAAGAATTACAGACCAGGAAAAAACCCAAAAGCCTGTTGCTGAATGTGTAAAGATGTCATGATTTTAGCTTAACTCATTTAGTACTGTATTTTTGGATGGGAAAATACAAAAATCACAGAATTAAGTTGAGATGACTTTTTATACTCAGATAATTAATTATGTTTTGGCAATAAAACTGATAAGAGAGTTTTACAAGTAGTAATTTCACTGTGTCAGCCCTGAGATGCTTAACAGAAATAACTGAATGTACGCATTTCTTCCTGTTATGTTTCCAGAGGATATTTCTTGAAGCAGACAGTGAAGAAGAAATCTTTGCACATCTGGGACTGGAATACATTGAACCATGGGAAAGAAATGCCTAGAGAAAAGTTGCAGACTTTTATACGTTGTGGGTTTGTTTGTTTTTGGCTGTATTTTGCTATATTTTACAATCAAGTTAAATAATTACGCTTCAAATTATAATGAAAAGCTTTCTTAGACAAGTTCAGGATTCTTTAAGTCTTATTGAAATGCAGATTACTACTAGAAATAAGTCATTTTGGAACCATGATAAGGTACCATCTGTAATGGGTTATGCTCTATTGTGTGATTGTTGCTTAGAATTCACGTTGCATTTTTCCATAGAAACAGTATTGTAATTGGTGGCTCATTTCCAAGGAAGCTTAACAAAACCTGTTTTGCCCACAGTGAAAATGAAGTATCGTATATCTCCATTAAAAATAGGAGGAAACAAGATGGTGGAGTCTTTCTTTTCTTCTCTTAAATACTATAAAAGTACTTTTAAGCAAAAATGTAACAAAGTGGAGTAAGAAAAAGTGCAAGACTGGTCTTGAGGAAAACAAGTTGAATTAGAAGATGAGGAGATTCTAGGCCTCTTTTGGAAGACAAGGCTGACTCTTGGCTTTGGCTAAATTCAAAGCCTGTTCCTCCCCCATCACCACAAGCTGTGTCACCAGGTGTCCCCGCATAAGGCCACATGAAGCAATGTGTCCACTGCTTTCCCTTGGCAGGAAGCAGAATCTCTTAAGGCACTGTAGGAACATCTTTAGCTTTCTTTCCATCTTGGAGTCTCTCTCTGGCTCTTAGTAGTCCAGTCTTTTTCAGGAAGATGATCTATCTTCAGGCTCTTCATCCCAGGCTCCCAAGGTATGGGAGGCAGCCCTGGCTGAGACAGCCTTTGGAACTCCTAGGCTCCAGATCAATTCAGGCCTGCTTCTTTCTCCAAAAGTACATCACTCTATGATTTGATGGGACTTGAAAGACCGTCTGTTGCAGCTACTCTGTGTCCTCAATCTGTTGAGGAACTGGAAGGGCCCGTAGCCATCTTTCTCTCATCCCTCTAGCCTCCTTAGGGAGGAGGATATTGGGAGATCCAGAACCCCATACAGAGGTTGATCCCCCAATGAGGATAGGAGGAAGGAGATTCCTTCCTTTCCTGGTGTTGGAACCTAGACATAGGGCATGTGTCAGATAGTTTTGCCAAAAATGCTGCATAACAAACTATTCCAAAACCCTGCAGCCTAAAACAACGTGGAGCTGCATGTTGGCTGACAGCCAGCTGATCTAGGCTGGGCCATGCCCCCACAGCCCTCATCCTCATGTCCCTGGGACCAGTGGGCTAACCTAGGCATATTCTTCCATGATGGCAGCAGAGACACAAGAGCAAGAAAGCCCTACTGGAAATTTCACGTATTTTAAAAAATAATACTCACTCATTCATTCAGCAAATATTTGCCATACATCTTCTATGTGCTGAGACACTATTTGAGGTCACGGGGGTATATGGCTGTCAATATCCCAGTGGTCAAAACACATCACATGCCTCAGCTTCAAGGGATGGAGAATTGTGTCCTGTAGGGAGGACACTGTAAAGTTATATGGTAAAGGGCATGGATGGACCAAGAGATGAAGAATTGGAGTCATTAATGCAAGTTCCTTCAGGGTGTCAAGTGTTTAGTTCCTTTCCATTCTTCTCACTTCCATTAACTGTCTCACTTAATCCTGGTAATTTTTGAAGAGCTGTCCTCCTGGCAAATCTGGGGAGAGGGGGCTTCTGCTCACCAGGAGCACTGAGCTCTGAAAGCAAAGATGGTGGAAGGTTTAAAGAAGAGAAGCCAGAGGGCTGGCTATAGAGGGAAACTTGCCCTAGGGTCTTGGTTTTAAGAGGAAGAAAGACCTTGAAGTGTCCTTCTGTTGCCCAGTCTAGCCTATTGGGACATGTAAGGGGCCATTACATCCCTCACATCACAACTACATTGACTATGTGCTGGAGGCACTCTGTTGTGTGTCTCCTGGGCATCGTCCCATTTAGTCAGCCCAATATGTCAGCCTGATATCCCTGAAGTGAGTGGGACACTTGCTTTACAAAAGAGAGAAAGCTAAGGTTCTCCTTGCCCAAGATCAAGCTAATATGCAACAAAGCTGGGGTTTAACTCCAGGTCTGGGGCTGTCTGAATCCAAATCCAATGTTCATTCCCACTAAGCAGGAACGTTCAAGAGTGAGTCGTTAGCTATGTTCACTAAGTCAATCAACAGACATATCGACAGGTTTGCCTGGGACAGTTCCATGTTATGCCTGCTGTCCGTATATAATTATGAAATCACACATTTTCTGTCTTAAACGTATCTGCTTTGAATGATACATTATATATTTACTTATTGAATCTGTGCTGTGGTATTAAGGATTCAGAAAGGAACCCAATGTGATCCTGTGGGCAGGGAGTTTTAGCAGTTTCTCTTTGCTAAAAAGACAAGGAGGCCACATCATCTGACCTCCTCTAACACCACAAGAGGAAGACAGAATCACCATCAGTAACCCAAGGCCTATTCCTGCCAGGCCAGACATGCTGCCTCCCTCCAGCCCTTTCACTAACCATTCCTCCCAAAGTACCCACCACCTCTCTCCTGGTCTGATAATTCGCTGCAGTGGCCACACAGAACTCACAGATTATGGGGTTTATTAGGGAAGCACCAGGCTACAATTCAAGTTCAGGAAAAATGCTCAGTCTCTCTCCCAGCCCGCTGTCTCTCACAGTCTCTCTCCCAGCAGTGCGTGTCCCTCAGTGTCCCTCTCAACAATGCATGTCTCTTGCATCTCTTTCCCAGCAGCGTGCGTCTCTCAGGGGCACATCCTTCCTCAGCCAGTAGTCAGAGAGAGACTTCTTCTGCCTCTAGGAGGCCTCCTTTTGAGCCTGGCAGAGGGGCCAAACTAACCAATCATAACTCAGAATTCTAAGCACCTGAGAGAGAGCAGGAACCTCCCAGAACATTGCTTTGTGTTGTGCCCAACAGAAATACCCCAGGTGGATTAACTTTTACAATCAGGAGCTCCTCAGCTGCTCACAGCAAATTCTACCACAGAGTTTACAAAGACTTATGGCTAGAAAAGCCACACTAAGTAATTTACTACACCACACTCTTGCTTGGTACATGTTGGGAATTAATGGTCACCCAGGGGGAGTCTTGCAGCTGAGGACAGGAAGCCCCCAACTGACCTTCCCTGAGACAAGAAGTCACATGATCTAGGTGGCTAGGATGAAGCCTGAGGTGCCCTTTGGGACCAGCCTGGAACCAGCCTGGCTGTGCCCTGTCATACTGGAGGGCCCTGAGATGACCTCTGATATGCTCCCCCATATCCAGGGATGTAAGCAAGGAGCTCAGGAGGGGAGGGAAAGGGAAGGTGAATCCTAAGCTTCATATCAGAAATCCAGGCCTTTTTAAATTTTTTTTTAATTTATTATTATTATTTTTAAATTTCAGCCTCTCTTAGAGGAGAGAGGAAAACAAAGAAAGAAAATCAACAACAAAATAGCAAAGCAAGAGACAAACGGCCGGGCAGCACAGTAGTAGGAGAGCTGTCTTATGCCAGGAGAAGGTTAATGGCCCAGCTAGGTAAGGATAAGACAACCTGAGAACCTAGGGGGTGTCGGGGGGAATCCCTGTGGGATGGTAAGGCCACAGGGTGGGAGTGGGATGGGTGACTTCACAGAGGAGGAAGAGGGGTTCAACCAGGTTTTAAAGAAAGGTGCAATTCAGGCTCACACGGGTCAGGTGGGTGGTGGTGGTGGTGGTGGGGATTATGGATTCAAGCCTGGAGGCCAGGAAATGTAGGCTACCTTCTACAGACAGGGAAGAGAACTGTCAAACCAGAGCTTTGGATTTTGGAATGAGCATCCAGAAATGAACTTCCCAAGCCTTCTCCTTCAGACTAAAAACTTGAAAGGGATGAAAAGAAGAATTTGTGATGTATGCTGGGTCAAGAACTGACAATCCCTGGGGCACAACCCCTATCCAGCCCGCAGATGTGTTGTTCGGGTTGCACAGTGTTGTAGCAATGTTTTGAATGAGTGGTTGTTATGGATTGAATTAGGAGCCTGGTGGGGCAGTGGTTAAGAGCTCAGTGGCTAACCAAAAGGTCTGAGTTCGAACACATCAGCTACTCTGTGGAAGAAAGATGAGGCAGTCTGCTTCCATAATGATTACAGTCTTGGAAATCCTATGGGACAGTTCTACTCTGTTCTATAAGGCTCTATAGAATCAATTCAATGGCAGTGGTATGGATTGAATTGTGCCTTTCTAAAATATATGTTGGAATTCCTGGCCCCTATACTTGTGGAGTAGGAGGAGTTCTGGTAGTGTAGTGGCTAAGACACTTGACTGCTAACCAGAAGGCTGGCGTTTCAAGCCCACCAGCCACTCCTCAGAAGGAAGGTTGGGCAATCTACTTCTGTAGTGATACTGCCTTGGAAACCCAAGGAAGGGTCGCTATGAGTTGGGTCTGACTTTACAGCACATAACAACAATAATAACATACATGTGGATGTAATCCTGTGTAGAAATAAGTTTTTCTTTGGTATGTTAATTAGGTCATACCAGAGTAGTGAGGGCTCTAAATCTAATCACTTCTGAGTTATAAAAAGAGCAGGTTAAGTACAAAGACACCCAAATGTATGGGGGTGGTGTGGGATGGGAGTGGGAGGTAGGGGGGAAGACATATGCCATGTGAGGATCGTCCACAAGCCAAAAAACCTGTAAGCACCCAGGACCACCTTTAAGTAAGGAATCAGCATGGCTGAGAACCTGGTTAATGTGGACTTCCAGCCTCCAGAATTGTGAGAAAGTAAATTTCTGTTCTTTAAATGCACCCATTTGTGGTAGTTCTGTTATAGCAGCAGTAGGAAACTAAGACAGTGGCCAATACTTAAAATTTGATAGATTGCACACCTGAGGAAAGAGGATTTACAGCTTTTCTTGGAAAACAAAAGGCCTGGCAACAACCAGCCCACAGTCCCACTTGGAGTCTGTCAGCCAGAGCAGAGCAGGGCTGCCCTCTGTAGGCAGTGCATGTGTTCTCCAGTTCAGCCATGACATGCCAGTCCCCA